GCTTGCTTATGTTTTCTGTCTGATATCTAGGCCCCATTCCCATTTCAAAGGGAGGTCCACCCGGGGCCTTGACTTTTTGATCTGCCTGGCGACTGAGTCGACCACCTGCATGTGGGATCAGCTGCCAGCGAGAGCAGACAACCCCTCTGCTTCAAAATATACATCCTCCCCCCCATCATCCTCCCTGCTTCATTGCCCTTCACTGTGCCCCCTCCTTCCGTGAAGCTGCCATGAGCCCCAATGGTCCTAACTGGGTCTGGAGCTGCATCCCATTCCCAACTGTTCTGACCGTGGTGGGTGAGATGCTTGGGATGTTCAATACAGCAGCAGGAAAGCTCAAGCTACAGTCATAGGGCAATTTTGTATTTACAAGAAGCCACTGAGCGTGTCATGGTAAACAACAGAGGTATTCTCAAAAAGGTCTGTGGCTGCTCTAATCAGGCATAGTGATCCACACTGTGAGCTGTAACAACGTCTATCAAACTTGATCAAATTGGAAGGGTAACAAAGAGCAACTCCTAAACAAAGTGTACATTTATAAATCCTGTGAATCTGATCAAGACTCAAAGAAAAGAAAACTGCTATTGCCAAAAGATAAAAGATATCAATGCCCCCCGATCTTATTTTATAATCGGGGTGAATTATTGTTGGGTAAATTCAGTCCCCGACAAATCAATCTTTTGTTCAGTTGAACAATCTTGTGTGTTCTAAGATGCTGACAAGTACTTTACCTGCTTATAAGATTAAGGTGCTGTTAATATTTTAAATTGCATTTCCCATATATTTTTTTTGTCATCCCATATCAAGATATCTACCCTAAAAATCAACTTCTTTTAATAAGAAATGCAACCAATTTAAGTTGATAAACTTGCTGTCCCCAAATCTTTTCTTTGTAGTACAAAAGGGGATCGGGCCCCTAAGGGCATAAAAAATCAACGTTTTAGTGGACTGATAGTATCTAGTGCTCACTAGATAGTTTTGTGCTCACTAGATACGGATCTAGTGCGCACTGATCCTATGGATGGAGTGTTGTGGCGAATGCATGGCTCATTTAAATATTAAAATTAGCCATGTGTTAATGGTCACAACACGAAATGTACCAATGAAATTACTTATTTTGAACACATTTTAAGCCAATACTTACTACTATCTGTGCGCACTGATACTATCCATATTGTGGTGAATCAACACATGGCTAATTTTAATATTCAAATGAGTATTAAACTAATTTGTCTGTAAGTAAAAATAAATGTAAATTAATCTTAACCTTTTATTACAGTCCGCATTTAAATGCCTGTCCTCCTTTGAGAAAATAACAAAACAGTCCACCTTTGACACATTACCTTGTTAGTTTAATACGTATTGGCTTAAATGTGTAATAAGTAATTTCATTGGTTACATTTTCTGTTGTACCTATTAACACATGGCTAATTTTAATATTTAATGAGCCAACACTCATCCATATCTTGCACTGATTGGATCTAGTCACTATTTGTGCACTTACTATCTTGAGCCAGATACTATCTAGTGAGCACTATCTTCTGTGCACGATACTATTAGTGACGATACTATCTAGTAGATACTTTGTGCTCACTAGAAACTTTCATTTTTTTTTTTCATGTCCCTTTGGCGGGATGGTGATAGTGCTAAACACTACACGAAATGATAATAGATCATTTGATGATCATAGATATTAATATAATATCAGGATTGCCTTTCTGCTTCATTGGGATCACTGTGCCTGTCACTATATAATTAAAACCCAAAGGATTTCAGAAAATTGAATTAAAAATTAACTAAGAGTGGATGCCCTGGATGCCCACCACTAGACCACTGACATCCACTAAGTAGATGAATAGAGCTAAAATGAGACAGGCTGTGTTTGTGACACTAGTTATCAACCACGACTCAGCCAATCAACAGCACCTATAAACAGTATTTTATACTAATTACCCTCATTGGCAGTGATGAGTTTCACAGTCAGAAATTTGTAAAGATTAATTTTCAAACAAAGCAACAGCTATTTGAGATGTGTGTGCCTCTGAATGTTTTTTGACTATAAGTGATATTCACAGACTCTTTAAGTTAATTGGCTTTCTTGAACCCTGACAGCTAGCTTAATGAGTGTCTAATTGTTTCTCAGCTGGGGTGATATCCACCACACCATAAAGACACTTCAAGAAGAGGTGTGAGTTTAAAAGAAACCACATCAACAATGAAAAAGGACACCCTTTATCCAGTGGATCATAATACAACCCTCCATCTCTCCACTTACACACCAAAGTCTATTTGACCATGGATCAAGACCAAATTGTTGACTGTTCATAATCAACTTAAAATTGCTGCTGTATTTATGTATGTGCTAATTTTGACAGTTAAATGGGAAAAAAATGCTTATTTCTCTGTGCTACTGATGTAAAACAATTGACCAAACCTCTTGGCCTGGACAAATGTGATATTGGCCTTCAAATTCATTTTACAACAAAAAGGGAAATAATTTAACAAAAGATGGAATATTCAGCATCCTGTGCACGGGGGAATGTCTGTGTACACCTCAGGTTTGTGTAAGTGCAGAGGTCATAATACATAACAGGAAAGGTTAGCCTCAATCGAGATGTACTGCGCCTCGCCTGGAAAGTGGACGAGATCAGGTGGCAGCAGCAGGAGGCGCTAACAACAAGCTGCTGTCAAGTCGGAGAGTTTCCAGCAGCCTTCAAAGAATATAGAGGAAGTCATAGAAATATTTGCATCCTTTTAGATCATCTTCAGGCTACCTGTAGTTTGCTGACCCCGTTCGGATATATAAATAAACTTTATTATTATCAACCACTCAAGATTTCTTTGTTAACAGATTAAACCTTCATTGCATAACATGAGACATGCAGTCTACAATCTGGTGGTGTTTGTTGTCAACTGCAGCGGGTGGCTCTAAAAAATTGCAACCACCTCAATCTTTTGAGGTTATTGTTGCCCCCTTATGCATGTAGTCAGAGCAAATCTGCATCAAGTTGGACAAAAATCAAACTGGCATGCATTGTGCGGTGATTGCCGGCGATTGATTCTGCGCAGGCCTGGCTCATCTCGAAGGAGTAGCTCATCTTCAACAAGTTTACTTCACTCACCTTTGTATATTTATTGCACACCTAAAGCAATGCAATACTTCTGTAGCTGAGACAAACAAGTGGGGAATGACAAACCAACCACTCCCCTCCCCAACTCCAACAACAGTGTAAAGAAACTACAATTGCTCTGACATCGCACACAAATACACAATTAATCAAAAGGCAGAAAACCAGAGGACCAAATAATGAAATGAATGGCGAAATGAGGAAGAATTGCTGAAGGGGTGGGGGGGTGGGAGATATCATTGAACCATCCTGAACTCACTTTTTGCTCTCAGTTCTCTATCTCTGGTTATAAATTACTTCAGATTTGACGTTTCCAGCCCACAACCTTACAACAAAACACACTTTCTTTTATTTAACAGCCAAGAAACGAAAAGAAAAAAAATGACTTTTCGTTAAAGCAAGGTGGTGGGGGTGTTGCGCTGCTCCCATCAAGCAGAAAGGCGGGCGGTAGTCAAAGAGGCTCGCAGCCGGGCCCCACTTTGGAAGGCCCTCATAAATCCTGATTTGAGCGGGGCGCTAACCAGAGGAGGAGAGGCACGTCAAGGGAGGGGGCTGGAGAGTGGAAGGGGGGTGGCAGCTTGCCTCTTAAAATGCTACGTCTGATTAAGTCTTCCCATTACGTGACAGCTGAACTTTAACATTAATATGATAATATTGAAATAAGTGTGTTATTTACTTCAGCACCAGAGGGGGGTGGAGGGAGGAAGAGAGGGAAGGACCAGGGAATGATGAATGATTTCTGGACAGCTTTGGGTGACATGCCAGGCGAGTTGACCCCCCCGCGATCCTCCTCCTCTTCCCATAATCAGACTTGACAAAATGGAGACATATGCAGAAATATTGGTTACAGTCGGCGTCACAGCCCTTCTCAGGCCTTCCCTCTCTAGTAACTGCCGGCCGCCCTGTGAGCCGCCCTCCAAATTGTCTACGGGCACTGAAGCATCTATTTCAATTGGCACTTCCTTCCTGGCCCCAGGATTTTACATTTAGTCGGTGTCATTTACATATTACTCTTAATCAAAATCCACAGTGGGCGACAGGGAGAAAAAAAAAACAAGAAAGAGGGAGCGAGAAACAAAACCGTGGCGTCACGGTTCAGGGGTAGGCACACAGGCACTTTATGAAATGGAGATGTGACAAGACATTACGGTGTGTGTGTGTGTGACTGTGTGCACGTGTGTGTGTGTGTGTGTTAGGTGGCGGGTGCATAAGATAATGCAAGGACTATTGAAATATTTGCGTGTGAATGCCTGTGTTTGTGTGATTGTTGGGGGCTGCCTTGTGCATGAACCAGCACGCAAGAGAGACAAAGACTGCAAGTTGGATATGGGTTGTAAGTGCATTTTGTTAAAAACAAAGGCAAAGAGTAGAAAAGAATAGAGACATGTACAGTGCGCACTTGTCTTTTCCAGCCCTTTTCTGCAGGATGCTACGCTGGGTAACTCTTTTCTTGGTCTACTCTGGTACTTAGCACCGATACCATTGTATGTAACAGAACAGGCATTCACACTGTTTGTTTGTACAACTAATCAGAATGATTAGAATCAGAATTAAAAAAACAATTTAACTAGCAACTACAGGTGACTGGGATTGCAATACAACTATGGTATTTCCTGTAAAATGTAAATGTTTTGTATCCATTCACCCATTTATTTACATTTTCATTTATTTGTCTATCCATTCCAATCTGTGTTTGCTGAAAAAGCAATGTAATGGAAAGCAATGTGTCCAACAGGAAGTGTTTAAGATTAATCATAAATGAAAGTGAAAATATGGATAATTTTGATCTAATTATCTATTAGATGCTGATGACTTAGAGCAGCACAGTTAGAGCACGATACATACAGAGAGGTGCAGAAACAAGGTCCCTACCTGCCTCTTACCTTCTCAGCATGCCAGTAAGGATGCGAGAACTCTTGCCCAGGTTGGCGTCTGTTTCTCTCAGCTGGGGGGAGAAAGAAAGACAGGTTTTAGTTTCCATTCTGGTCCAACAACTCAACAAAAGTAAAGACTATAAATACGTCCTCTGACAACAAAATACGCTGCTACAACAATTAAATATAATAAAATCAAAAGACGGAGAAACAAAGAAAGGTATTTTCTTGTTACACTTTTACAGACTGAGAACAGATCTACTGTACATACTGTACAAACAGATTTTTTTACAAAAAAAAAAAAGAATTACAATTATTACAGTAGTACTGTAAGCTTGTGTAAGGCTATACTGCTAAACAGCCTTGTATCACCACTGGCCTTCAGGCAAAGTACCTTGCTCAAGGGCATGTTGAGAAGGCCCTGTAAAGTTTGACACTTTATTTTTCCACCCAAATTTGTTGGTTGCAAGCTAGAGTGAGAGATCCTTTGTTTAGAAGCTTGCTTTTTTTTTTTACCTTTAGGGTACTGGTTTACCAGTCTAGAGACGACCTCCTACTAAACCCCCTTGTCTAAACATACTGCTGTTACGTTTAAAATAAATTGCTCCCCTATGCATAAAATCTTTATTTGCTTCGAAATGTTTAGATAGAAGTCTATAAATTAGAGCCTTGACATATCTCAATGGCAGATCTCCACTTAGGAGGATGTCATTTTAATAGCCTTCTGCTCATCTTTCTGCAAAGCAAACGTAAGAATGGTATAGAAAAGAGTGAGATTGGCCCTTTACTTTTGACGCACCTTGCAAGCACAGGGCGTCCTTGAAAGCACAGTTGAAATAATGATCATGGCTATTCAGAGCTAATTGCCATGGATATTTCTCTTTTTCCTCCTCCATCTCATCTCTTTTCTTTCTCTCTGCCTTTTTTCCTAAGGGGTCATAGAGATGTTTTCATTCCATCCTCTTATGAAATGTGGGGGCTTTCAATGGAAAAAGGAATTGGCAGATATGTTGCCAACAAGGTGTGAGTGTGACTGTAAAAAAAAAAAAAAAAAAAAAAAAAATGCTGACACTGCACTGAGTGAGCTGCCACTAACGTCTACCTGTAGTCGCATTTCTAGAGGATGATGAGGGAGTGTGGGGGAAGAATTTTTGCAGAGGTTCTCTCTAGAGTCAGCAGGGAGTCATTCATCTTCATCTCTCTCTGAGATAATAACTGCTTTCCCAATAAAGCCATTCTTACTCAGTGTGTTTTCATCAGTGTATCATACTGTATACTATTCTATTTTTAATTTCTCACTTTGACATCTCTTCTTCCAACCTTCCTCTTTTCTACAATGGCTCCAGCAAAACTCTTTTTCCTGTTTGTTCTGGCTCATCTTCTCTTGCTTGCAATTCACCCTCTCTTCCCACCCCTCCTTTACTGCTACTTTCTTCCTCTTCCTCCATCCTCCTTTCCTACCCTCTGGCAGCCTGGGTTTGTGCGATGCAGGTTGCGAGAGCCAAGGATACATGTGGTACAGGGTAGGAGGTGGGGGACATGGGGTTTGGGCCCTCTGGCAAAGACAACAAGTCCTGCAGTTGCCTGATGTCTGCCTCTACCCACAGATCTGTCCCCTAGATACTTCACACTTTCTCCCAAAATACATCTCTGAATCATTCCTTCTTTCCATTCCACGTTCTCTCTCCACAGTCTCTCACCAAATTGCATACTTTCCTCCTTAACCTGAAATGGAAACTAACTAATTTTAGACACTCTTCTGCACTAAAATTTCAGCGTTTGTCTATATGGTAAGAACCAGAGGAAGATGTTTTTCCTATCTTTTTTTTTTAAATGTACAGCTCAAAAGCAGAACATTCTCCAAAGACACCCTAGGTGACTTTTCAGGAATGAAATACGTACATATTCTGTTACCATTATTATAAAATGCATTTTTGATGAAATTCAAAATAGTCTCTGATCCATATCCTTTCAATCTATAGCAGCAAAAGAGGGCATTTAGTTCTTCACTTAATGGCAAGGGAAGAAGTTCAGCCTTGAGGATGAAAAGTGCAAAATGAAGATATAATTATATTTTGAGCATTAAAGTTCCTAGGCTTACTGAGAATGATAAGGGAAAAGAAATGACTAATTTGTTTCCTCAAATGACACCATTAATCCTTTTATATGAACAATCTTAGCTCTCAAATGACTAAATCCTAGCCTGAAAATACTTATTTAATTCCCTTAAATGAGTAGCTTAGTTATTGTAACTATCTGCAATGAGGTTATAGCTTGTCATGGTTAGTCTGGACAGCTCAAGCAAACGTTTCCGTGTTGAGGTGGCCTCAAATTACTTAATTCATGGTGCCTAATTTGTGGTTACAGATAGATGCACAAACAATGTTCAACAAAGATCATGGACTATAGGGGAAAAAAATATGTATCTATCTGATCAATACATAAATAAGAGTGCAAATGTGGTTATTCACTTGGGGGAATTTGTGCACACAAATTGCTCATCTTGTTCCCTGAAAATGGTAATTCATAGCCTCAAATTTCATACAGTAGAGTTATTGATTCAGGGATATAAATTACTCATTTAAGGAACAAATATCGCACCCCCTTCCATCGTGCTGTGTGAACTAGCCTGGTGAATGGTTAAATCACATTCTTCAATTCACGGGTTCAGAGTTAGGAGCACACTGCTTTAACCCAGTGTTGAAACCTTCCATTGACTTCTATTTGTACCATAAAAGCAAAACAAAAGGCCACACCCCCTGCTGAGCATAGAGGTTTGCGTGTGTGTGTGTGTGTGTGTGTGTGTGTGTGTGTGTGTGTGTGTATGCTCATGTTTTGGGTTTTATACTAAAACTATACCTTCTTCACCTTCTATCTCTTTAATGCAAAAGACCTGTTAACCAGCCCTTCCATCCTGTGTCTTTACATCTCGATTTCTTTTTTACTTTACTTTTGCCCCACAAACTGCCTTTAAAGCCCACTGAGTTTGTGTGTGTGTGTGTGTGTGTGTGTGTGTACAGTTTTTTGGGGGTGTTTTTTTTTTTTTACGGGGGGTGCAAAGAAGACTCATGGGAAGAAGGAAGAGAGAGAGAGAAAGCTAAAGAAAGAGAGAGCAGGTACTCTCAGTAGACACCGTGGACCGTTTTGAAAGGAGATGTTTGATTTCCTTTGAAATCGCCTGTGCGAGGCCCACTGCCATGTTGTGGTCTTTAAGCATTCTGCGTTGAGGGTGCCGTCAGGGTTGGGCCCCCTTCCTGTGTTTGGTCTTTTCTGTGTCTGCCTACCTGTCTGTTTGGCTGGCTGGATGTAAGGAGGGGCAGTGCTAAGGGGGGTGGGGGGCACTCTCTGAGGGAAAGTGGGTAAGAGAGAGGGAAACTGGAGAGGAGTGCTGAGATGTAAAAGAGGGTAGGTGAGGAAGGATTGCAGCTGGCAAAGTTAACCCCATTCAGGTGAGAGGAAGAAAAGGTGGAAAATTGAGCTGATTTCACTATATGCAATGTGGAGTACGTTCCTCTATTCAAACTAAATAGAATAATAATGAGATCTACTTATAAATAAGCACATTAAGTACCTTGTCAATACAACCCTGCTGACTTAGTGTGTGCACAAGCGTAAGCATATCCAAGACACTGTGTGTGTGTGTGTGTGTGTGTGTGTGTCATGTTTGTGTGGTGACTTGCATTTGTGTGTTCACTTGGCAAACCATGCAGAAAGTGGTGAACGCTGTCAATGTTGCAAACCAGTTGTAACACCTTTACGGTCTCACAAACACTTGTTAAAATAGACAGGCGGGTGAGTGCAGGTGGCATGTGTGCACTCACCCTTTCTCTGGCTCTTTGGATCTTCTCACGGTCACCGTGCAGGTTGGTAAGAATCTCCTGACCCACTTGTTCTGTAAGAGAAGCAGACGTAGCATGAGAAGAGGTATGTCTGACATTTAAAATTGAAATGTTAAAATCTTGGAACGGACATAAAACTCACAAAATCAACAAAGTAACGGAAAATGGCTTCACTTGTACGTTGTATTCTTATAATATGCGAAACAATAAGAATGACCTCTAATGATTTGTTGTACCTTTTGGACAAGTCAGGTCTCAAGTGTATAAAACATTTTATTCTGTCTTTGTCTCCTTCAACTATGTTGGGAATAATGTGAAATGAATATGGGTTTTTATTTATTTTTTTTACCTGCATTCACTCAGTTAGTCTTTTTAATGGAAAGAGCATTATGTATGCAGTCACTGTGGAAGATTTTGTACACAAACTGTACATTGTACAGAGATAACACTGTCTAGAGGAGTGTCAGGCGGGCAAATCGTAGAATATTGTAACTATGGGAAGTGTTTTTTACACCTTCTTAAAATGCTGAGGTAAATAGACATGACGTTCTAGGCAACAATACCCCAGCATCCAGCCTGCCAGTGGGGTCCACTCAGCCAATGCAATATTCATTAAGCTATTCTTTTTTAAATGCCTCTCGTCAGTTGTGGATGTAAACACATTAACGCACAGTTATAAAACATCCCCGACAAGGCACCTGACAAGCTTGTCAGTGGTCACTGTCATTTTCCTGTCCCTTGGGTTGGGGACGAGAAAAAAAAGAAAACCAAAACCCCCCCTCCACCACAAAAACCCACTGCTGCCATCAATGTAACCATACTGCTACAGCATTAGCGTTTAAAAATGAGGGAGGTAGACGATGAATCAGGAAAAAAAAGGAAAAGACGTGAAGAATCTTTGCATGGATCAAAGACAAGCTTTCAAGCGCACCAAACAAATCCGGAATAAACAACGCAGTTGCTCACTGTATTACACTACACAGGTGCCGCACACCAAAGGGCCCACGTGCTGAGCGCCTGTTTGGGGGGAGCAGTGCAAAAATGGGCTACATCTGGCAGCTAAACAAGAGAAGAGAGAGAGAGAGGAATAGAGAGAAAGATAGAGAGGGAGAGACAGAGAAAGGGGATCAGGGAAAAGTAGAAAAAAGAGAAAGCACTGTCAAATGAACAACATTCGTCTCCCATTCATCCCATCCCTTTTACCCCCCTACACTATAACTGACTCAAATGTGTCTCTTCCTGCCTTCATTAATTTCTAATCTGGGACGAGACAGATTGAAGGATACCCAGATTAAACAGTGCAGTCAGACAGTCACATGTGACAAATAGGGCAGATTAAAAGACTGAGTGCAGGTATTAATAACCATAAAAATACAAGCCCTCCCCCGTCCCCAATGGAGAAGAACAAGGGATAAACAGGAAGGTATTTGTAGCGGAAATCTTTTGTTAAAGAGACAAATAAGCACATCTATCCATCTCTGTCAGGGTTGGGGCTTTTTTTTTTAAATAAATGAGCATGACAAAGACTGAAGCAGCAGAGTTTTTTGATGGCAAGTGCATTATTGGAAAGGTTTGCAACATGTCAAAAGATAGATGAGTAGGAGAAAAGGCCTCCAATGAGAGCTTAAAACCTTGGCAATTCCTTGGGCAAGAATGGAACCATGTGGACTGTAACTGTAGGGTGCTAAGAGCACGGTGCTGGTGCCCTCTAAAGAATGACAGCAAGGTAATGATATAGCACCTCTACATGTTTTCTAGACTAGATTGTACAGACTATCCACATATGAATGGTTGCCCTTGACAAACGTAAAAGCTGCTAAATAAGAATGAGGCAAATATGAAATTCTTTATAGTGCAGTTAGTTTTTTGTTTTACATTATTTTTTTATTATCCTTGCTAGAACAGAGCTACAATACACAACTTTGCTACACTCTTTAAAAATTGCATATTCCACCAGAGCAGGAACAACAGCAATTGTGACTATACAAGATGGTAAACACATAAAAATGATGACATTTTTAAAATAAGAATGATATTGAAGACACCACCAGCTGACTAAAAAAAGTTTCTTCATAGCTTGTTAAGATAAACATTTTCATCGACTGTGAAGCCATTAAGGTCTCTCCCTAGTCCCCCAAAATTACTCATTCCTATCTGGGTTTCCCCCACCACACTAAGGCATTAGAGATGAAGACAAGACCTCCCAAGGGAATTTATGGTGTTTATTGTCTTTATCATGTATCTTCCCTTGCATTACTCATTCTCTGGCATGTATCTACATTTCCATTCATCTTATTTAAGTCCTGCTGTGCAGTGGACTGTGTGAAACTTCATTAGTTACTGGGAAAAGGACTTGTTGGGCAACAAATGGCACAAATTATTGAGTTCTAAACAAAAAATCTAATGTAGAAGTACAATGAAAGACACTCAAGTAACAGGCTACTCCCATAATGTGATATACCATTTCATCACGATGTAGACAAGGCTTCCACCCCAAAACTGTCAACACCTGTGAAAAAATACAATGAACTAGTCCCTAGAGTAATATTATCTTAGGTCATGTTGATGTGGGAATTTTTGGGGTAATTACTGGCTTTAAATTGCATGTTGGTGCACAAGATTTTGCATGGTTAATATATTACATATTCAAGTATATATACATTACCTTTAACTGCAAAAATCTAGATAAATATAGAATTTATGACCGGAAGAAATGTGAGGTATTAAAAAGATAATTTCTCAAAATTTAAAATGCACGGGCAGTAAAAACAAAGCAGGAGAGGAGAAATAATTTACTGTTAATGCCCCTGACTTGTTGCTCGTTAGTGTATAAAATATTCCCCTCCTGTTTAAACAGCTATTAACAATTTAAATAACCCTGGCCCAGAGGCCTTGCTCTGACTCACTTGTTAAAGATCCCCATCCCCCAAGGTCCATTTAACAAGCCCATTATTCCATTACATTACACTCACACCAGCACCAGAGCGCCTTAATTTAACTCATTCCTCTAATGTAACTGTAGAAAAGAATTAGTATAGAAAAGTTGAAGGCATAAATTAGATTGAGGGGGAAATAACATCTGGATCGGGATCTAGACACACTATTGACATAGCACTGTCCAGCTCTATGTTATCTCAGCTCAACAATCAAACACCATTTTGCTAACAATGGTAAAGTGGACGGAAAATATATTTACTGGACAATTAACTTTACAAGTGTATTCAGTAATATAATCGGTAATGCTGAAACAAGCAGTGCAAAACAAGACAAACAGAGTTGAAGTGAAACATTTCTGTTTCTGCTTCAGCAATTGGTTGGTCAACAGACAAATAATCAGCAACTATTTTGATAATCGGTTAATCATTAAGAAAATATGCCCAACTTTCCACAGTTCGAGCTTAGTTAATTCTTGTTTTTTCTTTTTTTGTCTAACGTGACAGTAAAATGTGTATCTTTGCGATGTGGAAGTTTGGTTCGACAACATTATTTTTGAAGACAAAAAAAGTTTCATCGATAATAAAAAGAATCGTTATTTGCACCCATTCTCTTGAATATTTCCAACAACTAAAGAAAATGCTTACACTGTTTAAAAAGTACATAACATAAATTGCTCATGTCCGTCGAGCCTGGCTCAGGACAATACAGTTCAGAAAACCAACAATTGTGGTACAATCCAAACCTCCACAGCCCTCAACATCCTCCAGTCCATGGACACATTTAATTGGAGGCATCATCTATTTTACAGGAGCTGTTTCAGAGCAGTTACACACTGTCTAAGGGCTCTGTCTCTCTTTCTGTGTTGCGTTTTTTTTTTTCCTTGCTCCCTCCATCCCCAGAGCTGAAAGGGTACAAGACCTGACAGTGGTGTGCTCTGAGGCTCAGCACAGCTCCTTTTCATTAAGCAGTTGAGACCACTTTTTGAAGGTTACCACACACACTTGTATCCGGACACAAGCCACACACTCCAACAAACGGGGTATGGAAACCCATGGGAGGGTTGAGGGGAAGTAAGGAGGAGCCTGATAAATGTTAGTCCATACATTTTCTGTCTCTCATCACTCTCTCTTTCACACACACACACACACACACACACACACACACACACACACACACACACACACACACACACACACACACACACACACACACAGTGCAGCAGTCAACTTATATGCCTGTGACTCCCAGGTGAATAAAGTTACCTGTCTTTGTACACTTCCAGAGAAGCTTTTTTAAGGACTTCTCAAGTCTACAACTGCCTGGTGACACACTTTCATCACCTCCATCAAAGTTGTACCCACACTGGGATGTATTTGTAATGCTGAGCCCACAGGCCATGAGGCTAGCGTCTTCACACTGAGCTATAGCTCAAAATAAAGAGGTGCCAAGTGCTAGGTCACAGGGGGGTATGTAGCATCTGGGGGCTCGGCGATGATATGACAGGTTACTTATAATAATAACAAACTATCGCATGTTAGTCAGGAACTGTTACTTTGCGGGACGGGTAATAAAGCAATTAAAAAGGACCAGTGTGTAGGATTCAGTGTCATCTAGTGGTGTATTTGCAGATTACATCCCTCTCACCTCACCTTCCCGTTTCAAGCGTGTAAGAGAAACAGTGGCTCTGAAACTCTTGAAAAATGCTATCTAGAGCTAGGGTTTGGCTTATCCACTCGTGGCTACTGTAGAAACCTCGCAGACCACTCTCTGTCAACAGATCCTCCTAAATGTTACACACTGGACTATCAAGAGTGAAATATATTCCTAATGTTTCGTGAGAAGAAATGTATTGTCCTGAAAATTGAAATTTTTTCCTTTGTGTTTAACATTGATTGCTCTTTAGCACACTGTATAGGTACTTTTGGGTAACTTGTTCTTGCCAGAGTCTAAGCACTTAAAAGACCCAAAACAAGTAATATTCTGGGCAGGGAGAAGCTGGGCCACAACAGTCCATTCTGACTTAGCCCATGCGCTTCCCTTTGCATGTGCATGAGTGGTGGTGGGCAGTCAGGGTGGATTTCTGGGGCCTTTCTTCACTCCGCCAGGCTCTGTTTTA